ATCTGCAGAAACAGTTTCTACAGGTCACTTACAAATGTCTTGCTTATATTCGGTTTGACCACTCCTGCAGCAGGTACTTTCTGGGAATCCTTGGGACATGACATTGAGGGTGGTAGTATAAGCACACAAATTGGATTAGATGCAGCAGGAGCTGCCTAGAAAAATATTAAGAACTGTCCAAAATTTCCTCTTGGAAAGGTCCTGAAGCTACCAAATACTTCACCCTGAAGGTGCCTGGGAGTTCCGTCCATCACCCAGATGCAAACTACTCCATTATCTTCTCTATGCAGAAGCTGAGCCAAGAAGATCCTGCATCCCCTAGATAATGAATTAATGACTTACATGTACTGAGTATGCATACAAGCACAGTCCTGATATCCAGTTACACCACTATAATAACTACAGAACAAACAATTTTCATATTTACAACACAAATCCCCCAGCTCTCACCATGCCTACAATCTGCACTTCCTATCGATTTCAGTCAGAGCTGAGCTGATCTCTAATTGCCTGAAAGCCCCATAGAGAGGTGATTCAGCACACTCATTCTAAAATCAACCTACTGTGAGAAGTAAATAACCTTTTAAGATACTTGATAACTTGATAAAATACACTTACTAACTCTAACGCTCGCTATATTGCAGATGACCTTGATTTTCTGCTAGATACCAAAATACACCCTTTATAGAAATAATCAAGTAACTGTAATGCAAAGGAGGTTCTTTTGCTTGTGCTCAGATTAAGTCTTCATATTAATCCTAATGAGAGAGAGACCCCAGTGGCATTGGATGAGTGTTATCTTTCACAAAAGAAAATCTCTCTCCCAAATAGAATAAAGAAAAAAACAATACTCTCAAGAATTAGAGTTATAGATTCTGAGATGATGAAAAGTCCACACATTATATACAGAAAACACAATCTTGTTCTTTCCACCAGCTTCCTTCTTTTTCTTTTCCTTTCTTTCTTCTGTGAGAAATAAAATAAATGGCTGCTTCTTTGAGTTTAATGACATAGTAATGCTCTTCAAAAAGACACTCAAATTCATTGGATGAATGACAATAAACCCACGTCACAAAACAGTTTTCTTGCTTTCTAATAAAGCTGCCACACAGTCTGGATGTATTTGAATTCTTGACCAGGAAAGCTTCTAAACTATTTGCCTACCCACCTGGCTTTTTCTCCAGGCTTGCAGACTAACACACACACACAGGATTTAATAGAAATGCTTGAACTGTACAAAAATAGATTGCTTCAAAAAACTGAATAAAAAAATAAAAATACCCTTTCTTCAGGCTCTCAGGCATTGTTAGAAAGCAAAATGCTGCTGACTGCAAATGAAGGGCCTGATATTGATCTCCTTCATGTATCACAACTATAAATCCCTTGACATGTAAAGAAATAACATGATTATTTTAATATATAGAAGAAAAAGTCAACTCCTAACAAGTTACTGAGTGCATACAGGGTGCAAAGTACATCCAGGGTAGCTGGATGGAAAGGATACCCTCAAAGATTCCTGATAACATTTAGACACAGACTGAGCCTTAAATTTGCATTTCCTTCTGTGCATTAGCTGCCATTACCAGCTGAATATACCCTAATTGTAGCATACTGCATTTTAATTAACAATATACAAATGTAAATTATACATTAAATGAATAATTAAGGAATAATTACTATTCATCAGGAACATTTACTATTCTAATTCACTTGTTATCTGAGAAATATTAAAAATGAATAGCTATGCAGCCTTGCAGGGTAGAAGTATCACAATTGCATTTCTAACTAACTCTTCCTTTCAGCCAGATTCACATTAGTAAAACCAAAAAAAACCTGAAGACACCTAGTCTGAATTAACCTAGACCTGCACCAGTGGCAATGAAGTCAGTATTTCACTTAGTGTTTAACGAGGGAGAAAGAGGGAGAAAGAGGGAGAAAGAGGGAGAAAGAGGGAGGCTGGGTAGGTTGTACAGTTCTATCCTCTGAAGCAATACATCCACAAATTGGTTTGAAGAGAGAGACAGACACAATCACACAATAATGATTTTAATTCCCTTTAAATACTTAGTTACTTCTGCTCAGAATGGTTGCCATTTGTTTTTACTGCAGAGACTTAAAATGTAAGCCATTCAGCTTATTATTTCTTGCTCCTTGATCTCAGTAAGAGCAGAGTTGTGCTCTCTGCTTGGATACACAGGGCAGCCGGGCTACCCAATTACTTACAGATGAGCATGCCAAAACCTGCTTGTTGCCTGGGGTCGTACACATTGCTCTCCCAGTCACAGACAGATATGCATCATACAAATTTTAATACTGGACCTTAATCACAAATAACATTTCTGGTAGGTAGACATGATGCACAGATACCTAACACAGGTTCATCACTAATTGGTAATGATTTGATACAGACAAAGATCACTGCCATGCTCTGTAAATCACCAACACAATGATACAAAATGCACTGTTGGTAAGACGTAGCTGTGAGGAGTATTATCCTTAGAGTAAATAGTAAATAAGTACATTAAAAATACACTTTGACTTACTGGGAATAGTTATTTCCCTTTCTTATTTATTATTCAGAAAATGGTATATACCCGTGCATATAAAACTCTTCAGAAAACGACTCTTCAGAAAAGTGTAGTGCAAGGAAGAAGCATATAGTCTGTAATTTGACCAGATACCTTTCCAACTGAGGAAGCACAGATGTTTACATTTGAGTGTTTTCAAGATGATGTAGTGCATTAAACTGAATAGGAAGAGACAATGAAATCTGTCAGCAAACACACAAGACTAGTTATTACAAAGGGTATATACCTGAAGGGGATAATTATCAATATATGTCAGTGATTCCCAGCACGGTTAAGCCACTTGTTTATTTAAACATTTTTTTTAATTGCACATTCAGTACTGGACCTTTTTTTTTTTTCTTAAGCGAAACCACTGTCTCATCTCATTTACATTATCCCTGGATTCCAGTGTGAAGACATTGTGTATGAAGACAATATGTGGCCTTTAGCACATTTAGCCTTCCTGACAGCAACAAACTCCCCTGATGATGAAAATAGATGGCTCTTTCTTGCATCTCTGGACTTCTTCAATATATTACAGTGAGCTTTAAATGTACTTTTTTGAGTACTTGAAGAAGAAACTACATATGAGACTGACATGGGGAATATGTAGTGTTTGTTCCTAAGCGACAGAAAAAACAACTGTGTGCAGTTCTGAGCTCTCTAACCTTTCCTATAATCCACTTAAAAGACAGAAGCATGCCTTTGGCACACGTTATAGTCAGAACTGCAGTGGAGCAGACATAATGACACACAACTGAAATAGAGATTTTGCTTCTGTGGCAGCTGCAGCAATAGCTTTATGATTAGGAAGCTCTATTCACTTTTTAGTTTGCGTTAATCCTCTTCTATGCTAGGTTTAGCGTTTCAGTAGTACTTACAATTTGTGACTACCTCTGCCCGCCTGATGCTATAGTTGGAACTACAGCCCATTCTCATGTGTACATGGATGATTATTAGCACAGTGGATGAAGCCAGCCTTTCCTTTGCACTACCTCTCTCTGCTCAGCACACTAGGGAAGCCATTTGCATCAGGCTCTGTTCTGCTTTCTCCTGTTTGTGCTGCCCACACGTACTCTCCACAGAAAACTCCTTACAAGTGTTTCAAATCTGACCTTACTAATATATTCTTATAACCTTAATTTATATATAATTTGTACTACACTGAATTTCTCTCCCATTCTCCACCTCTATTACCTCAGATAACTGAGAGATGACTAAGTAATTGGAAAGTATATTAAATGTTTTCAACTGTTGCTATAAATAGGGTTCTTTTGCACTGGGAAAACAAAACACTTTCTAAGTTTTTTGTTTGATGGGTACACTGGTTTAAAATACAAAAATGCTTTATCTGATACAAAGCCATGACAAGCAGATTTGCACAGGACTGTCCAAAGCTGTCTTCCCTCCCAACCACAGCAGCAGGAAGAACAGGAATATAAAGGTTCTCTAGCTGCACAGTTGCCTGCACAGAAGAGAATGGCTGGCAGATCAACACTGGTGATTTGCCCTACAGAAAACCTGCTTCCAGCAACCCACAATCAAATCAGCCATATTCACTAGGACTCAGTGTCACTTCAGTAGGACAGACTCCCAGACGTTGTGGATCCTTTCCCATCTCAGGAGGAGCGTTCACTATCAAGACTGCTTAGTCCCCAATTACAATCCCCAATGAATAGCCAATTCAAAAAAGAAACCTGGTATTTAAAAAAAATCACTTCTTCTCTAATAATCCATTAAATATTATGGCCGTAGTTTACACAAGAAATGTATAACTGTTCATCAGCACTGTGGATATGTGGAAAATTCCACTGAGAAACTGTAACTCTATGGTGTGAGAATAGACATGACACAACAAAGTATTACCCTCCGTAGTGTAACTACAATACGTCTTGTCAAGGAAAAACAATGTTCCTTTTACAATTTATACCAACTTGTCATCATTAAAGAGTGAAATATAAATAATTAGATTTTCTTTTAGAACTAAGTCTCATAAAGTCTGAAAACTTTCCAGATGCTTTAGGACTGTATTTATGCAAAATTGCAGTGATTCTCCCAGGGCCTGTAGCTGCCATCTGCTATTTAATTTAAAGGCTCTCTGGATACTAGTATATGAAATGGTGGGAAATGAAACTCAAATTCAATGGATGTAATTCATTGGTGCATCTGTAGGCAGTTCTGTTTGTTCTTGTTGCTGCTGTTTTTACTAAAACTGTAAAGCATTTCAAGTTGCCAAAAAATATAAATTCAAGTTATTATAAAATAAAGCCTGATTAAGAGATTTTTAGAAATTTATGTCATAACACCTAGAATTACACTGAATTTGAGAGAGCAAATGAGGTCATGAATAAGCATGACCATGCATCTGTCACCACAGGATATTAGATATACCTTCATAAATTACTCAAAACATAAGACAAGCCTTACACCTACCTCTTTCTTGGCTGGAATGTAGATCCTTGTGTTCCCTAAGAATTGGCCTTTGTCACCATGTCATGATGCGTCCTGAGAAGAGGTTGTGTTCTCATGAGCTCAAGTGACCTGAAAGAAGATTAAAAAAAAACAAACACAATTCAAGGTTAGATTTGTATTTGCCAAATTTTAACTACGGAAAGTCTTCTCTGCATTTAGCATAGAGATGTGGAGTTAAACCTATTTTAGTTAAAGAATCTTTTAAATGTGCACATTTTTAAAACCAACTTTTTTGTTGTTAATAATCCCATACAAAAGCTACATTTATTTTTAATCTGCATAGCGTCAGAATAATTATTTTCTTCTGAATTAACCAGTGGCTTATGGAGTATTCAGTTTCTAGAGATCCTTTCTACAGTTAGTTATGTTAACTTTTCCAAAGAAAAACTTAGTAGTATAAGCTGGGTGTATTTTCACTATTAGAAAATTCTCTACTTGAGTAAAAATGAGTAGTATATTGGCATATAGTTTACAGGCCTATACGATAATAAATACTATAGTTACCACATGACCTTGGCTATTTATGGACAAGAAGTGTTCCCAGAAACAGTATTTCAAGATCAGGGATCCATTTAAATACCACCAGACTGAGTGACTCATTTCAGATACAAGTATCTGACACAATGGAATGAGCTGGTTCTTAGCTCTCACAGCTACGGGGAATATGGAATTTACACTCTTGACATACACTTTAAACATTGACATCACGAACTTTAAAATAAGTTAACAACAGCTGACTATCAAAATGTATGTGTAGAATATAGTATCTTTAATAAATTATAATTTCTGAAAGACTATAGTATCGAGAGCATAAATACAATACAAAGATCACAGCCCTATGGTGCTTATAAGACTCCACCTAAGTAAAGAAAATGACAAAAGAGGACTCAGGAAGGCATCTCAAGGTTTCTCCTTGTGAGTTAGACTTAATGAAATAATCGCTATGAACAATAATGTTACTTTTACACCAGTGATTCAAGTTTTTTTGAATTACATGCTCAAGGCTGATGACTAATGTTATAGCACTTCTTATTTTTCTCTCAAAATTTTATTTCAGATTTTTATAGCACATTACACAGCATTCAATTGGACAACAGCACACAACTGAGCAGATGGATTTTTAATCACACAACTGAAATTAGAAAAGGAATGTTCCTCTGCAAGTATTACTACATCAACATTGAAACTCACAACACTGGAAATACAGTGGGTTCTCTCTACAAATAATATTAACTATGCTGACTGTAGTTTTAAAGATATTTAACCACTTGCTGCATCATTTAGTATACAGTAATAATTCAGAAAATTTCATTTTCTTTTGTTTTTATTTATTTTTAGAAAGGGTTGAAGCAAATTTTAAAATAGGTTCAACTCTCCCTGAACCCAATTAAAACTATAATCACTTATTCTAGGGACATAGTTTAATAAATTTTATCACAGAAAAGACATCCCAAATTCTCAGAACTCTGTATTCTATTTCAAATGAATAAATGTAATCGTATAGTGCCAGGGCCATAGAGATGGTTTGAGTGCAAACCACTAAACATTCACAACAAACCAGATGGGCAAACAAGCAAGAAGCTCCTTGCACAGCTTGGCAAGACTCTCCAACATGAACGAACTAGAAAACCACTGCTATTGAAATCCAAGTCAATTCCTTCCACTGCAGCCCAGACACAAAGAAGTTGAATAAAAGTGAAACACTTATGAAAGCATCAGCATTATTGACATAATTCCTGCCGAAGGGAGATCTATTGATTTCAACAATAGATAGATCACATTTTTTTTGAGACGAAACCTAAATAAAGGAAAGGCAAAGACACGATTCCAATCCATTTACCACATGTGCATATATATATTGTAATATGTTAATGCCTTATTTCACCCTGTCAGCAATATTAGCAATGTCATGAGTTTATATCCATAAATCAAGGTGAATGGCACTTGCAGACTACATACAAGCATCACGTAGTTTTAAGTAAGCCCCATATCTATGTTAATGAGACCGCAAAGGAAACTGTACTGTTAAGTACTGTACCCACACAGTTTATTGCTAATACATCAGGATGCTAACAGTGTGAGCGACCTTGAAGCACATTAACACTCACCAGAACAGCACTGAGCCAATTTCTGTTGATACAAATATTTTGTCTTTGCTGAAAATCCTTCCCTGCTGGTATTCAGAACTGTTATCATCAGATCCTAAAGCAGTAATATTCCTTATTGAGATAAAGTATTGAGATAAAAATAGCTCTTAATAGCACAACACATTTACTCCCCTAATTAATACGTGTAAGTATCACTAACACTGTCTTAGCTCACATTAAGCCCAGAATGTTTTATGGAAAACTTCCTGAGGTATCTTAGCAAAGCTCTTCTCATCACCCTCCTCAGCTGGCAGACCCCACACACACCTGCATGCAATCCAGCAGCTGGTCTGAAAGCATGGGTCTATCCCACAGCCAGGGCTCCTGTGCCACCTGGTTGAGGTCACATGTAGCTGAAACAGGGACAGTTTATCTAGAGCGGGAAGTGCTGGCCATAAATTAATTGTATTCAGAGAAAAGTGAAAGTAGTATTGCCCCACTAAACATAAAATTACTATTTTTAAAATGCATTTCTACAGAACACTGCTACAGGCTTTGTTTTTGTGTTCAATTCTCTCTGTAAGGTCATTTCCCAGTTTCTTTTCCTCCTTCTACAAATTTAACTATTTAGCAATTAAGGAGACAAACACAAGAGTTCCTACCACACAAGTACATCATAATTAATTTGCTACTTCTAATGTGAGAATTATTATTCCAAACATAACCAATTCTGTTCTAGAGAGCTCGTATTAGGAAATTACCTTGATTCAGAGCAGCACTTCTTACTTTATGCTGCTTTTTTATGAGGAAGCTGACAATATTGCTCCGGGAGTTTTGTAACAAAAACCACATTGCCTTTCTGTCCTTAAGACCCCATGAAAGTTATGTGCCACTCAATGAAACAACAGAAGTTCTTTCACGATTGTAAGAGTGAACTATCTGAGCAAAACTTCTAAAAAGTGATTTTACATAGAAAGTTATGTATTTGATGGGAAAAAAATCAATACTCCTTGTAAGACCCTTCACAGTAGTTTTCATTTGTTTACGTAACTGTAGTCCTCTCAAACAAACTGAATCAGGCAAAAAGACATGCATAAGGGAGAAAAGGGAACAGAAAAGATACAGCTGCTGGCCAGGCCTTCACGTGCTGGTGCAGCTCAGGCTGCCTTCTTTCACTGCTTTCCATGTATGCTGTGACACACAAGAGCCCTTTTTGAGGTAAAGGTACTGTCTGCCCCAAGAAACCAAACTGATCAACACAAGGTACTGAAAATAACTATTCTGGTTATGAGACTAACACGAATACCAAGCTTCACTTCAGAATGCAACTTCATTAGCCTAAGGAAATTCAAACTGCAAGCCTAAGAGCAGAGAACAGCAAGTAAATCTATGGATCTATGCTTGGTCTAGTTGTCCAAGTCACCAGGTCCCTGTGCATGGGGGAGTGCCATTCACCATGTGAGCTGCTTCCCACCCAGATTAGGATCAGTCACACATTTGCTGAAGTTATATCCTGCATCACCGTCCAGGTCACTGGAGATGTTTCATGATACGAGTTCCTGGGATACCTCTGGGGTTCCTATCGCTGCGTCAGTGAACACTTAAATATACCATGTGAAACTGCTGCAACATGTGAGATCATAACCAACCTGCACTGGAATCTGTTTGCCAAGCCACTCTTCAAAGAGACAGAAGACCCCAGTTAACATTCTTTCTATGGTCAAGTGATCCTGAACCTAAGACTCTATGTCCTTTGCTTTCTGCTTTGGCCATGAAGCCATAAATCAGAAGTGGAGAACAGTTCCTCTTCAGCTTTTCCAGTCATACCAATTCTGTGCCCAATGAGAAAACTTGAAACTAGTCAGTGAATTAGGCCTGAATGTGTGAAAAGCTTCACACCAAGTGAAACCAGTAGCCAAAATATAAAATAAAATAAGCCCGAACAAACAAAAATAGCCTTTGTCCTAGCAAGACAAGAGCACAGATTAGTCAATTAGTTGATGCCCATTTGCAAAAGACTCCTCTAGTCTGTAACGGCTGAAGGGCAAGCTTCCATTGGACTGCACTTGAAATCATGTAACGAAGGACACATACCACTAGAAAGGTAAAATGCATGCCAAATGTATTTCAAGATAAAAATGTCCAGATTTCTTCATCTGCTGCTGCAGTAAATGTTACAGACTTAGATTTCCACAGGCCTTGAATCTTGTCTACTGATCTGGTGGCCCCATCTTTGCATTATTAACGCTGGTTACTCCCAACAGGATGAAGAAGAAAAAGAGAGTTTAGAGCATGAATTTCACATGTTAGGGAAAACATCTGAAGCTCCCTGCCTGCTCAGAAGTATAAGTAAATAGACAGCAGAAATATCTTAAAAGTCTTTCCCCATTTGTTGCATGAAATTTTTATAGCTGTTATTTCAGGATACTATTCGCCCCAAACAGCAAATTACAGCTTACACACTAGTCTGTCCCTGTGTTTCTGAAAAAGCTGGCCTTGCTTGGAGGTGCTATATGTTGTTGGTGTGAACATGAGTAGAAAGGAGAGATACATGCCTCTCTAACAGAACAATTAAGAGACAATGGCTAAGGAACAAACAGCACAGTGTAATTTTAGGATATAAAATATCATAAAGCAAACAGTAACTGCTTTACTTGTACAAATTCAACAAATTCAATGGCTCCTTTCAGCCTGCCAAGAAGGCACAGACATTTTCATTAAAAATCAAAGCCACTGGGAACTCTTTCAGATAGCTTAATATGAAAACGTTTTGTTCTCATAATGTTACCATTAAAATATTCCTATATACATAAAACAATGGTAAATAATCAAGGTAGTTAAACTGAAAGCTTCTTAATTTGAAGCTTTATACATGTAAATTTGATACAAAAGATATCCAAACCATTTTTAACACATGAAGTTAATATTTCCACGTCAAACATGGAAAAAAGTAAAGCAGAAAAGCATTTTTATAATACTGATTTTTTAAACATTTTAAGTGCAAAGTATATTCATATGAGTATTTTGAGGTTAAGCTTTTGTCACTGAAAGAAAGGAGAAGGAAGAGAAGACGAAAGGATCCAAACAGCAAAGCCAACATAAGTTTGTACAGCAATAAAATATTTTTGGTGAAGCAGTGACTTAATGTGACACAGAGATGAAAAGACAACTTGTCATCCACAGCCGTTCTCTGAAAAATGCAAAACTGTCATTTTCCAGTACAGATGTATCACTTTCTGGAACAAATGAACTGCAATACAAATTGTACATAAAGTGTATGTGGATTACAAGACTTACAAGAGTAAAATGCTAATAGAAAATATAACTCATTTTTTGCACTACCCATGCAAGTATATTATGACAAATCACCACATTTATTAGGTCTCCTAGTGTAACTGCATAGCACGCCAATTGATGTGCTTGGAAGTTGGGGAGATTTATTAAGAGAGTTCTGAGAGTTCAGAAAGGGTACATGAATTAGCTCACATTTTGCACTTTCTTCCCCTTCTCATAGCTTTTCTCATTGTGCAGACCCATTTCCTTTCCTCACTGAATCCATCTGATCTGTACTTTATACTGAACTGATACACATGAAATACTTTACTATCTTATGGTTTCCCTTCAATAACTACTACATGCTGTTGGTAATCTCAGTTTTTGTTCATTCTGCTTTAATCCTGATTGTATTTCACCAACAGATAAAATATAAGTATTTGCTATTGAACATTATTATCCTTTGAGTATCCTTTGTCTTTCTTAATATAAAGCATCTCTCTCTCAACCCACTTAGTTATATTTGCTTGCATTACATTCATTACCATCTGTTGGAAAAAAAAATCCTCTGGTTGAATAAAAAGCTTTTGGACCATTAAGATTAAAGCTAAAAGGAAACATCTAGTTGCGTCAAAGACATTGGGAAAGAAATCACAAGGAACTGTGTATGTGATACAACACTAAAGCCAGTTTCGAGTGGAACTCAATCCTTTCATACTGGAATGCATCAGAAGGCAACATCTCATGCTGCTTAATAACCACCCTGAACTAAGCTCAAATCTTCAAAATCCGAACATGGAACAATGCCTTATCACAGCAGAATAGAAGTGCCTTTGTGCTTATACAAATTTAAGCAGAAGTAGTGATATATATGTAACTTTTAAAACATTTGAAAGTAAAGGATTCCCTGCATTTGTTAAATAACTACTGCTATCTCTGCATCAAACCTCACTTCTTAACCTTCTGTTTTTAGTATTTACCTCATTATTTTGCTAGACATAAGAACAGCAGCAAATGCACGTAGTTTAGCAGAAATGTGGTAATGAGTGCATATTTGGGTACTGAATTAGCACATTAGTTACCTCTTCTCAGTCTCCTGGCACTACTTCACCTCTCCATTGTTAAAATGAGGCTGAGATTGGTGAGTTTATTACTGATATGATCTATATATTCCAAATAACCTAACATTTAAACAACAGCTCAAGGATGCATAAAATTGTGCTAAGCTTTTTAAAGATTGTCCTTTATGAATATACAAGTGTTAAATTTGATGTAAATTAATTTGTACACTCCTGTAAGATGGGACTGTTTTTTAAGCTGTTTTGAGACAGCAATTTCTTCGTTTGGTGAAAACATTTTTCTACATTATGCTTTTCTACACTATGGAAAATTTTTAAATTTTATTTAGTCCATCTCCATCAGTTATTTTAATTTATTTATTCTTTTCAACAACTTTTCATATGACATGGCTCCTACAATGGATGCAGTATTTCCAATACACTTTGACTGTTCCTAATATTTCCTAAAGAACCTCAATTCTCCTTGTGGAAAACTGAGGAAACATATTTGACACATGAATAATTGCTCACTCTTCAAACCAAAAGACATGCACCAACTTCACAGGAATTTCTTCCTCATTCTTAACTCCACCAGAACCTCCAAAGTTTATCCTTAATTCACTGCTCATTATGTTACACAGCAGTTCCCTGAAGCCTGTTCACACCTTCCAGACTCTGTAGACATCTGCTCCTTTTAATGAGCAATGCGTGCCTGTATTGCCGTTGTCTTTCGATAACCTCCCACCCTCTATCTGTGAGCAGCTGGAACTGCCCCCTTAGCACAGCTCCACAATCCAGTACAGTGGAAACCTGGTAGCCTCACTTCTCTTTATTCCCAGTGGCAAGTCTGCAGATCAGGATGAAGTATAGGGACTGCGTTCATTCCTCACTTATGCGTGAGCACTGGCTTGACAAACACTGGTACAAATACCTGTTG